GCCAGTCGCTGGCACGGGCGGGGAAGCGGGGCAGGGCCCTGCCAGAGAGCGAGGGAAGAGAGACGCGTCGAGCCCCACTTAGCGCCCAGAGCTAACGGGGGGACGGGCAGGACCCGTGCACTGCCTGCGGGAGGGGGCGGAGTTATGTTCGGCCCTAGCTTTAGGCGGAGGTTTCCTGTGATGCGGCTTTCGGCCAGTTGTGACAGAAATCTAATACAGGGAATAGCGGTTCAGAAAGTGACAGACATAGGAGGGTGTGAGTGGCTGACAGGAAATGTTTCGACGTGGTGCTACAACCTAATCTAGCGATGTGGATCTCCTATAACGTGTGGCACACATGTATGCACTACACAAAACCTATTGCTTATATGCTTATTAATAGTGCCAGCAGTCAGCTTTAGGATACCTCTTAAATAAGTTGGCAATTAAACCTTCTATAGAAGTGACAGTATGGTTATAAGGCCCTCGTGTTATGCTCTTAAGAAAAAAGAAAAGAAGACTGGCAGCTTTTTGTAGGTACAGTAGAACCTTAGTTATGAACACAAGGGGAATGGAGGTTGTTCATAACTCTGAAATGTTCATAACTGAACAAAACATAACTTTCAAAAGTTTACATCTGAACATTGACTTAATACAGCTTTGAAACTTTACAGAAGAAAAATACTGCTTTTAAGCATCTTAATTTAAATGAAACGAGCACAGAAATGGTTTCCTTACCTTGTCAATTTTTTAAAACTTTCCCTTTTTTTAGTAGTTTACATTTAATACAGTAATGTACAGTATTTACTTTTTTGGTCTCTGCTGCTGCCTGATTGCCTGCTTCTGGTTCCAAATGAGGTAGTTGACTGGTCAGTTTGTAACGTCACTGTTTGTAACTCTGAGGTTCTACTGTATATTGTTTTCTAACAGAACATTAATGGATTGACATTTACAGTAGTGCACTCTGCAAACATGTTGTACTGTCATCTAAAATGGCTTGCTGTCCTTGAGAAACTTGAATACCATTTGGAAAAAAACAAATACTGTGATCAAACAGAATTTTAGCCCGCGCTGTTCTTAGAGAGGGAGCAAGCAGACTGGATCCACTATAGTGCTGTCTTGTGTGGAAGGAGAGGAACAAGGAAGTAGCACCACATCTCTAATAGGATGGAGAGGGAAAGGGAGGAATAGAGTGACTGGAACTGCTGTTGCTTTTCTTGGAGGGAACGGAGAGGAGAGGAAATGGGAAATAAGGAATAGAGCAGTTCAAATGAACAGGAGCTGGGCAAATGAAAGCCCCCGTGCACATCTAGGAGGGCAGTATCTCCCAAATAACATATCTGTTATAGAGTGCTTATTATCAAAGCACTTCATAATCTTTTTTAAAAAAAAGATTCGCTGCAAAAGATTCAGTTTGGCTAGTTTATTTTAAACAGTTGTGCTTTGAATGTGTTTGCTTCCTTTCAGTAGTTTGATAAAATTGAAGCTAATCTTCTTTCCATCTTTTCTTGACAGTGCTATGGTTCATTAATAGGCGGGGTTGTTGTCTTAATTCATTAATGGGAACAGAAAACATCCAGAAGTAACTTCTGGGGTAGAGTGGGAGATAGCACAGAATTCATTAACTTAGGGAGAGGAACTCAGAATTCGTTCATAGGAGAGCATGGAATTTATTAATTATAGGGTGATGTGTTAGAATTGATTTTGTTGGGGGTGGGAAGTGATTACATGGCAATGTAAATTATATAGGGGTAGCTTTGAGGGAACATGCTTGGTGGAACAGATTTTTTCCACTAACTAGTAGGCTTAGCCTTGGTCTACACTCCCAGCCTACGTCAGTATAACTACATTGCTCACAGGTATGGAAAATCCACATCCCTGAGCCACACAGTTATACCGACCGAACTCCAGGTGTAGACAGGACTATGCCAGTGTGAGGACACAGCTACTGCCTTTTGGGGAGGTGGAGTATCTGTGCCAATGGGAGGAGCTTTCCTCTCGGTGTAGATAGCATCTTCACAAAGTGCTACAGCAGCGCTGTAAGTGTAGACAAGCCCAAAGGTCATGTTTACACTACCACTTGTGCCGGCAAAACTAATGTTAGGGGTGTGAAATAAAACACCTCCTGAACGACGTAAGTTTTGCCAGCATAAGTGGTCGTGTGCATAGAGCTATGTCAGTAGGAGAGCTTTTCGTTAAGTGGTTTTATTATGTTGACAGGAGAGCTCTCTTCTGTTGACGTAGAGTGGCTGCACGAGTGATCAGTACAGCTGTGCCACTATAAACTCGCTGGTATAGACATGGTCTTAGTCTTTAGGTGACTAGTGTGTGTGTTAAGGGAATCTTTCAAGCCCTGATGGAGACCTGGGCTACACTAGCGGGGAGGTTCGAACTAAGATATGCAACTTCTTAGTCGACTTACCTGGCTGTCCTCACGGCGGTGAATCGACTCCTGCAGCTCCCCTGTCGACTCAGCCTACTCCTCCTGCTGAGGTGAAGTACGGGCATCTATTCGCAGATCGATTTATCGCGTCCAGGTGAGACGCGATAAATCGATCCCCGATAGACGTACCCTGAGTATTGCAGCTCTTACAGCAAAACTCAGTCTTGGTGTTCAGTATAATGACTTTTACTATTCAGCTCATATTTTGGCCTTGCCTTCCCCAATTTTTAAAGTCTTAATTTAAAGATAAAAACCACTCCCCTCTTGAAGGGCACTGTCAAGTGTAGGTAGAAAGAAGGTTAACTTCAACTTTATCAAACTACTGAAGGGAAGCAAACACATTCAAAGCACAATTGTTTAAAACAAACCAGCCAAACTGAATCCCTAAAAGTTGCAGTGGGATTCTAAAGTTAGGCCATTTACCAGCAGATGTGGTTATGGTTAGTAGAACTGATTTTTAAGGATATGGGAAGATTAAACAAGAAGCATCTCTGAAAAAGGACAGTGATGTTACTTGTTTTATAATTTTGTGGATTATGTCAAAAGCCTTAGGTATTCTGATATCTTATTTACAGTTGACTATTGATTTTCTGAAATGTACTTAGCATCTTTGATATTGTGATGTTGTCACATGATGTTACAGTTATCTGCCAGTACACGGTTTGACGTTAATGGAAAAAACTACCTGCTGCCATGACAGGTATTTTTTTAAAATACCTGCCTATTCCAGTCTTTTCCGATGCAATTTAAATCAAGTCCCACAATCATCAACAACATTGTGCTAAGTCTTCACAGAGTTTGGGAGAAATCTGTAGACCATATTAAAAAAAACATTTGTCTTATTTTCTTCTCACTTTTTTGTCAGTTCTAACTTTTTGTGGAAATATACTGTGACTTTAATATATATGAAAATAGTCCATTTGACAGATTGCTAATCAGCATCTTCTAAAAATGTGTGTATTGTATAGAGTATTGTTTAAATTGAGTATTCTATAGCATATACTGCAGCAAAAAGTTTTTACAAACCATTGTTCAGTCCTGGTGCCTTATGACAAGACACTTTTATAGAATCCTATATTAAAAAGTTGCAGTGTACTGTGCAGATAAACACTACAAAGTTATCACAAATTGAGAAATGTTAAAAGTAGCAGCAGCAGCAAATACTTCTTAAGTCTGAAATTGGGCATTTTAAATAAATAATAAATGCATTCCATTTGTGGGATCTACTTCCATTTTCCTCTACTTCTATTTTCACAAGATTATGGACAGTAGACTTTATTCGGTAACCAGCCAATGCAGTTCTTAGTGAAAGCCTAGAACATACAGTATAATCAGTCAGGCATACTGGATTGTTGCCATTTTAAAGAATTCACAGTGGAAAAAACAAACAAACAAAATAATCCTTTCTAAAATCAATACATAAATCCAGTGTATGTCAAAGTAAGATTTTTAAATGTGAATGAGAGATTAAGAATACTTGTAGAGATGCAAGAGGCCGCGACATCAGTAAACTGCATCCTAAAAATGAGATCAAGAATTATGATAATCCAATCTCAAGAAAAACACAGGCATGTACAAACAGAAAGACATAGTGGTTCAGTAGGGGGCCTGATCCGGAAAGTGAAGCCAAGGGGGTTTCCTAGTTTGTTTTCTTGTACTGTTCTTGATCACTTCGCTTTTGTCTGGTTGGTGCAGCTGCTTGTTCAGATGATAGGTGGTTTTGAATCAAAGCTATATTCTCACCTTATTATGTAACTATCTGCACGTTCAGATGAAAATGTACTGTTTAGGCTTTTACAAACATGAGTCTTATTGAGGATAGGACAAATCACTATAGTGCATTATGCTTATTGCATCATCATGGTGTACAGTCATCGTTTTTAAAGGTAGTTTTTGAATGGTTAGGGAAGAGGGTGTGTGCAAGTGTCCTAGGCGGTTGCTATATAATCTTTCCCTTGCTGTCCAACCAGTATGCCCCCTCAGTGATGACCCGGAGGGATGATTTGTAAGGGTGAGAAGATAGTTGTCTCCATGCCTGTTCAATTCTTTGCTATCTTTTATGAGATTACAATTTTGGTTGATTTTTGTGCTGTGGGCACCTGCTCCTTGGGAGTGAACTGTGACCAATCTATTCCGCATGGACCACTTAAAGAAAAAGGTTTTTTTTGAAATAAAGTAATTAGTATTTGATGGATATAAAATATATACCCCAAATTAACTATGTTTTATAGTTTAGGATAAAGGGGAGATGTTCACAGGATATTGGCGGTTTTGAACTGTTTTCAAACCTGATGCCTATTGATTTACAGATGAAAGCAATCAAGCTGAATAATAAGAAGTTGTTTAATAATTATTTTAAATTGAATTTTCAGGAGCTGGTGACTTTGACCAGGGAACACCATGGCCCACACTACCATTTCTGCAGCTTTTGCTATTCCTCAGTTACTGAGAGGTACTGCTCGAATTTTCCCCACTCATTCTGCATTGTTACGGTTGAAGTACTCTGCTTTGTGTTCCTGCACGATGAATGGGTAGGTTATCAGTCTACCAACACGACTAAAAATTTTGTTTTTAAAGAGATTGTGATAACCGTGTCATGAGTGTCCGAGGCTGAACAAACTCTTTAAAGAATTATAGAAATACTCTATCAATCACCTGGTTGTATTTTAAAGACATTAGTAAGTAGGGCTGGCTGGCACACAAGAATTCTATTCACAAAAAATGTTGAGGTGTTCAAATTGGGTTTTTGAAATCTTTCAACAATTTTTGTGAAAAAAAAATATGAGGGAGACAGAAATAACCTAGTGCTTAGGGCACTTATCTGGGTTGTGGGAAACCCTGGTTCAAGTCCCTACTCTCCCTGGCCCAGATGAGTGCCCTAACCACCAGGCTATAGAGTTAGTGTCTCTCTGTCTATCTCTACTATTAGAGTTCCATATTGTATAACTAGGTAAATATTCATGGGCGAGAGGTTCTACAGCCCAGTGGTTCTCAACTAGGGGTACATGTACCCCTGGGGGTACACAGGTCTTCTGGGGGTACATCAACTCATCTAGATATTTGCCTAGTTTTACAGCAGGCTAGATTAAAAGCACTAGCGAAGTCAGTACAAACTGACAATGACTTGTTTATACTTCTATATTTACTATACACTGAAATGAAGTATAATATTTCTATTCCAGTCGATTTTATAATTATATAGTCAAAATGAGAAAGTGAGCAATTCCAGTAATAGTGTGCTGTGACACTTGTATTTTTAGGTCTGATTTTGTAAGCAAGTAGTTTTTAAAGTGAGGTGAAACTTGGGGTACACAAGACAAATCAGACTCCTGAAAGGAGTACAGTAGTCTGGGAAGGTTGAGAGCCACTGCTATAGCCTGGTTAGGGCACTCACCTGGGATGCAGGAGATCCAAGTTCAAGTCTCTGCTCTTAATCAGGCAGAACACAGACTTGAACTTTGGCCTTCCAAATCACCGGTGGGTAATCACCAGGCTTGGCTATTATGGTGTGTGGGGATCTCTCTCTGGTTGTGACCAGAATTTCTGCCCTGGACTAGAGAAAACTGTGTGATGAAAGTTTTGTCGAAACGAATGTTCCTGTGAAGAGTTTAGTTTTTGGCAAATGAGTATTTTCTATTGAAAATTTCCCAACCAGCTTTAGTGTTAGCATTCGAAGATTAAATGTGAGGTGAGATTAGTGTCTGATTTCATTTAATTTTTGTTTAAATTAACATAGTCTAGAATGGCAGATTGATTAAAGTGGTTAAATTGTCAATAGAAATTCCTACCATTTAAGCGAAGCACTAATGCTTTGCAGTTGCAGTAATGACGTTAATCTTGATTTGCTTTTTGTTGAAGCACAATGAAATCCAAAAGGAAAACGGATCATCTGGAGAGAACGGCAAATAACTTTCGACAGGAGGTTAGTGTTCTGTTCTGCAGAACTGACATGTTTTTCTTTGTGTTATGAAGAGACTGGATAATCCTATTTGATGGTGATTAGGCTTCTTTCTTTTCTATAGAAGATTTTGTGCCATTTGTCATTTTTCTTTTTTGCATTTATATTCCGAAGACACTGTTGTAAAAATGGCATGGTTTTTTTTGGATGGGTGAAACAAAATGATGTTAAAGAATGAATGGCTGTCATTCTTTTTTTGACATGTTTAATCAGGAATTAGTAGTCTCCTAGTTCAGTTTGGATTGTTCTAGTTAAGGAAATCTTAGTCACTTATTATTTGTATTACCATCATTGATACATAGGCTTTTAAGGAACCATGGGATTTCCCCCCAGAGAACATCTTCTAGAGGTATCTGATATGTACAGTAACTCCTCACTTAACAAAACAACATTAACTGGGACGATGTTATTAGGTCGCTGGTCTATTAGAGAACATACTCCTTTAATGTCCTGCACTGTTCCCTTATAACATTTGGTTCCCGTTGCTCTGCCCGCCGCTTCTGCTGGGGAGTGGGGTAGGGACGCGGGGGCTTGCCCTGTTCTGCCCACCCGGCGCTCCTACCGGGGAGCAGGTGTGGGGGCTTGCCCTGCTTGGCGCGCCGGGCGGAGTTGGGCAAGTCCCCTTGCCCCAACCCCGCTCCCCGGCTGGAATGCCTGGAGTGGGGCAAACCCCCGCGCCCCGACCCTGTTATGCCCCTGTCTCAACCAAGCTTCACAATCATCAGTGGTGAGTACAGTATTAAATTGTTTGTTTAAAGTTATTTAAAACTTACTGTACATGTATACAATGACTTGTCTGGTGAAAAAAATTTCCCTGGAATTTAACCCTCCCTGTTTACATTAATTCTTATGGGGAAATTGGATTCGCTTAAAGTTGCATTTTTCAAGAACATAACTAGGATGTTAAGTGAGGAGTTACTGTATTGTGAACTTCCCTACTCTTTGATTTAAAAGGTGAAAGTGCTGCATCTTTAACAGAAATTTTTTCTTCTGTTTGGAATGAATTAGTTTAAATAAGTTAACAAAAGAGTTGCAGATATTTTGAATATAAATAACTTGCTTTCTTCATTAATAAGGTTTCAGTAGTAAAGTGATTCTACATCTTTTTTTTAATTTCAATGCAGCTGGGAAGTGGAACTGGGTTAAGGGATGGGGATTGGTTAGCTTGAAGAGGGAATGTAGAACTGTGCAGGGCAAGTAAAGAAAGGAGGGTTCAGTGCTGCTACCTCAACTTTCTGGAACATCTGGGAACTTCTTTTTTTCCCATGCTTAATTTATTCTTAGTTGTTACATGTTGTCACTTTATTTCTGACCAGTTAGAAATAGGTCCTTTCAAATCTCCTGTTTAGCTGTAAATCCTATGTAATTAGTAATTGGCTTCCCTCTCCACATTACCTTGCTTGGTTTTTGTAATCCTTTGGAAAGATTAATGGAGGATATTTCTGTGTTGCAGTAACGTGGATGAGTACACTAGTTATCACATAGTCAAGGATGTATCACAAATAGCAAGTGCAAGAAAGACTGGCTGAAACTTTGTCCATCTACAATGAAATCCAGATGAAAACAATGAATGTCTGGGTCTTTTAGTCTGCCAAATCTTGATCTGGGCTAGTTGGTTACTCTTATGGATGGTCAGAATCTTCTCTGAAGGTCCTTGATCACCCTACATCAGGAGTAGGCAACCTATGGCACGCGTGTCAAAGGTGGCACGCGAACTGATTTTCAGTGGCACTCACACTGCCCGGGTCCTGGTCACCGGTCAGGGGGGGCTCTGCATTTTAATTTAATTTTAAATGAAGCTTCTTAAACATTTTAAAAACCTTATTTACTTTACATACAACAATAGTTTAGTTATATATTATAGACTTATAGAGACCTTCTAAAAACATTAAAATGTATTACTGGCACACGAAACCTTACATTAGAGTGAATAAATGAAGACTTGGCACACCACTTCTGAAAGGTTGCCGACCCCTGCCCTACATAAAACTTAGTTTTCTGCACCAACTTACTACGGAATAATAATTAAAATTCCAGTGTTTTGTCAAAAATATAGGCCAAAGAACAACTCGGGGGGGGGTGTGTGTTAGGAAGGGAAGGGGAGAAGGAATGTCAAAAGTGTATGCACATTTCCGGCACTAAGAGCATTACATAAGAGAAACATTTGAATAGCCTACCTGACACTTGTCTCGTTAACCAGTATGACTGCATTTCCTGTTTAATATTGTCTATTAAAGTGGAAAAGAAAAGTACACTACTCTAACTTTGTTTTAAGTTGGCAAGTGTCCTGTTGTTTTACTGGACAGTAGACATGTTCAAATGTTGTTTTATGGAGAAATTCATTTCCTGCCATGTGTTTTAAATTAGAACAAGACTGGTTAAAGTTTCATTTGTTAAATTATTTGATCTTGTACAGATGAGAAATAGCACAATCATGTGTTGTAGGAAACATCAGACTGGGAGAGCTAATGTAGTAGATGGCATTAAACATTTTTTAAATGTTTTACAGCCTAGGACATAGACTGGCCTATTTACAAAACTAGTAATTCTGTTTTGCTGAATTTTCAACAACAACTGAAAAAAGTCAGTGGGGAAAGGAGGATGGACAGGTATCATGCAAGTTAGCTGTTAATATTATAAAACAAGAATATGTTTTGATACACATTGCTGACAGTCTGTTTGTATCCCTGTATTATTGAACATTAATATGATTGTTTTATCCTGTAGATGGATACATTCTTCACGACATGTATCTATCTGCTACCCAGTGCACCAAATGCTCCCCTGAATTGCATCCTTGCAGTCTCATTGAAGTCCAAGTTGTTGCATAAATGTAGGGCAGAATTTGGTGTAGTGTGTTTGTGGAGAAAGCATTTATGATCCTGCAACAGGATCAACTTGCATGGACCCTGGCCAATTGAAGTCAACAGGTGGAGGGTTCAGTCTCTGGCAGCCTCCATTGTAAGATCTGGCCCTTATTTAATATAGTGTTATTCTTCGTAGCTCTTGTCGTTAGCCTTTTACCTGTACTATTTAGTAAATCAAAACTATGGCTTTCAGGTACCCCACTCCAACCAGAGTCTTTGTTTCCCGCCAGCAAGAAAAATATGCTTGTATAAAAGTTTCTGTCCATTCTCAGTGACATATTGGGCCTTGGGCAAAATGCTGCTATGTCACAAGTGCTCTCATCAAAACATGGAAGTTCATTATTTAACTCACTTTAGTGTTCAGCCATTTATCTGATGATAGAGTAGGACCACTTTCCCAAATGTTAAATATCTCAGGTTTTTGGTTGTTTTAAGAAATCTTATTTTAGGAGGTATTGTGGCGGCTAAAGCATAAACACATACCCCTAGAATGAGATTAGTTTCTTCCAGAACCAGGTGTAGAGAGTTTGGGCACAGTGAGGCAAGATGTATTAAATTAGACATTTACAGCTGGATGGCAAGTGTTCATGGAGGAAAAAAAAAAATCAGAAAAAAACGGAGGTTTAAAATAGGAACCATAGCATGAAAACAAAATAGTGATATTGGCCATTGAACAACTTTTTTAACTGTAGCTTCCCCCTCCCCCAAGCCTCAGAAGTAGAGCTCAAGATTTCCAAAATATTTTATTACTGATCATGCAAATAATTGATTCACATTATGTCTGTAGATGCCATAATGTAAATGTGTAAATTCATGGCTAAATGCAGGTTAAACTGCATTTTGTACAGTAAGCAGCCCTATGACGTGAGGCAAGGGGAAAGATATGCCACTAATGTAGTGGAGATTCCAGTGGCCATTGTGGTTAAATTATGTTTGACTATCTTAAATGAAAACAAGTAAATATATTAATCTAGAAGTGAAATGTAATTTTTCATTCAGAGCGACTGAAAAACAGATTTAATTAAATGAAATGACAAGTGTAGGTTTGTTTTTTCTTCAGTCATCTTAAATATCCAATTATTTATGTAGATATGTATTTATTTATTCACTCCAAACTTCTCCCAGTGATACTAGTCAGTTACTGGTCTCCTTTTAAAGGTTGCCTTGGTCAACATTTTTTACATGAAGATTTTCTACCCACTTGTTTTGATGACTTCTTTTGCTCTCAAAAACCAAAAATAAACTAGACTTTACTTTGTTTTGGTCAAAACATTTTTATGTAGCCGGGCCAAGATTTTCAAAAATGACTAGTGATTCTGGGTGCCTGTCTTGACATGGTAAAGGGGCCTGTTTTCCAGTGTGCTCAGTGCCAACTTCATGCAAATAATGCCCCTTTAAGATACCTTGAATTGGACACCCAAAATCCCTGGTCACTTTTCCCTGCGTCTGGTACTAACCATAGGTCTGTGGATAAATCAGATTTTACACTTTTTGGTAAACTGGAAGGATCACTTGTACAGTTAGAAGTGAACTATTTACAGATAATTATTTCTGTCAGTTACACATTGAAGTTTGCAACAGAGAAACTAAGTGTAACACTATGAAGTAGTAAACTAAAAGTTAAATTTTATTGTGAGGGGAGGAAGGATTATGGGTAAGGAATTGGGAACAAGCAATATGTAAAGATCACACTGTATTTGTTAAATCCACTAGACCAGGGTTTCTCAGAACAAATTATTTGGTGGTCTCAGAGTGCAGCCACCAACTCTTCCTGGTGGCCACTCTGACAATTTTTCATAAAACAATTAACTTTAGGAAAAACAAATAAATATGCCCATATACACATCCAAAGCATTGTAATTTATTTATTGGTAGCTAGCAAGTCTGCTGTGAAAAATGATATTAACAAACATACAAGTATCACTTTTCACAGCAGACTTACTCAGCCCTGGCAAGTTTGTGGACAAATTAGGCCCTGGATTGGGGGCCAGGGGAGGTAGTGGGAGCCAGGGAGGCAGCAGGGCTCTAGAGCTCGAAGTCCTGTGGCCGGAGGACAGAGTCCGAAACCATGCAGCCAGAGCCTGGGGCCTGCCGTGGAGCCGAAGCCCAGAGCTGGAGACTGAAGCCCTGCGGCCAGAGCCTGCCTCTACGCTACCCCAGGACTGAAGCCCAAAACCGGAGTCCCACTGCCCCTGGGAAAGTAGGGAACTCACCAGCTGCTCCGCTAGTGTTGTGCCCCAGCTGTCTCCAGAGGGGGGCAGGGCCCAACCCCTGCTGGCGGCCCCAGAAACCAACACCAAGGTGGTATATCGAGGAGCACCAGGGAGGGGGAGAGCCCACTGCTTCCCTCCCCCACCCCAATCACAGCCCAGGAGGCTATGGCTGCAAGAAAAGCCCCTGGTGGCTGCATGCGGCCACAGTAGCCGCATTTGAGAAATGCTGCACTAGAGTGAGGGCAGAATGCTTATTCGGTGAACAGCCACATGATTCCTATTGGGAGATCTCTCCTTCAGAGATACCATTCTGAACAGATCTTAATTATATTTCTGTTTTCTGTTAGTTGAACAGTTTTACCTAACTAGGTAACCCAGCAGTTTCCAAACAATGGGTCATGATCCCAACTGGGGATCCTGAGTGTGAGGAAAATGCCACTTTACAAAATGGCATCCTTCGCATGTACCTTTTGTGCAAGGGCACACTGTGGAGGATGCCATTTTATGGCACAAATTGGCATCTTCGATGTGCGTGACCTCACACTGTGTCTTCCATGCTGTCTAGAGTCATGGGAAGCAATACCTCTGAAAATGGGGTCATACAGAGTAGAATGGTCAGTGCTCGTTGGAAGCATCACCTAGTGATTAGGGGTTAGGCCCTTCTTAATGCAGAGAGGGATGGTAGGGGAGCCTAGACCCTCCCACTCCACCAGGCTCTAGCCCAGGGCTTGTAAGGGTTCAGCATTTAGGAGTACCTTACGGCTACCCTCCCTTTTTTACCACCCACTTTGTTGTCCAAGTTTTGTTCTCTATTGTGAAACGGTAATAGAAAAAGGTACTAACGATACCTTCATTATGTCTGGGTCCAGCAGATAGGCTCATTGTCTCTAAAAGTTGGCTTCTGCAGCACCCCTTCTCAGGAGCTGGTAGGGTAGCCTTCTCCCTGCTTTGTAAAAAAAAAACCCTTCTGAGCTTTTTGGCTTCCTTTTAAGCTCCACCTCAATCTGGGTCATGCTCTGCAGGTGCGGCTGGGTGGGGTCATCAGAGCACAGAATTGCTCTTTAACCCCTTCAGCTCTAGTGTGAGGTTTCCCATCACACCGAGAAAAAGTTTGGGAACCACTGGTGGTAGCCCCAAATTCA